GAGTCTGGTCGTAGTGAATGCGCTCTTGAACAGTAAGCTATACGTACCACTCTTACGCTTCTAATCGAAGGAACTATTAGATCTTTATTATAGCAGAAAGGGTGAATTTCTTGCACCGTTGACTCGCATTTGTGATAGTATGAAAACACACTATATGATATAACTTTACGCGAAATGCCCTACTTACGTCGACAAGAAACTGTTCCTATGCGAGTCGCAACATTTCTTTTCAGTGGAAAGTTGCGTGTTAATATTCTACTTGCGGGTCTTGAAGCAAACATGATGCGAAAATGATACCTTTGCTAACCGTGATCGTAAAAAAAAATTTTTACTTGTCGATCAATTCCCAAAAATGAATGACATCATGTCGCACCCATGACTAATTCTACTATTTTCAGGAACAGAGACAATTAGCTGCAGCTTTTGTCATTGATTGTATGCACCGATAACCTCGTGCTTTGGCTTGTAGTTAATAGATCCTCTTTAGACTTTCTTTTGATATAACCCACTGGTTAGAAGTATATAGCGAGATGACCAAAGAGTCACCCGTGAAGAACACAGCTCCACCAACGTATAAATTTAAAGTAAACAAAGAATATTCGAATCATAAGCCCAGGATGCTCATCCCACCTCGTCGAAAAGCGATCCATAATTTCTACGAGTTTGTAAGTTGAGCGTTTTTATCGCTCATTTGTCTGTATTTGTTAACGCTAACACGTATTTCTACAACCTCAAGCAAAAAAAGTGCCTGGAACTCTCGGCAGATTATTACCAAGGCATCGCCAATTTGATGCGAGAAACCGACGTTACTCTATTCATATCACCACTTAACCAGGGTGATCCACTTCAAATAATCAACGAAACTGGGATGGTGATCAGCGGTATGCTTAACCCACCTTCGACTACGTATGGTAGCGGTCCGGGCGCTGTTAAACATAATAAGGAAAATAACGGCGAGAACGTTCAAGAACTGGAAAGCGGACCAAATAAACCAACGCAAAGGAATAAACGAGCGCCCCGACAATTATGGGGAGAAGAGGAAGTGGCGAGACTTAAAGCGTCTTTTACGAAATATCAGGGGGATTGGGAGGCAATTATAAAGGAATTTGAACCCGATAGAACTAGGTACGTGATTGTGATTATGATGTATTAGAGGTTGAGAGATAGAGAAAAAAAACATGTAGCAGCGAATGTAGTCAAGGTTGATTCCATATATTATATTTACTTATAGGTTTCGTAACTTGATTCCAAACACGTTCAACATTTTCGTCTCGGTAATTA